CGGGGCTAGCCTGACCCAAAGTTTTATAGTTGTTTTGGCCAAAGAATTTATAAGATTTTCGCAACATAATTTATATAGCACACAACAACTTTTTTATAGCAAGCTTTTTCATAACTCATAGCTGAAACATACAGACCTTTAATTTCACATGTTACTCATAGTATCTGCAAAATTAAACCTATTTATAAGATCACGCTACGTACATCTCTTTGAAGGTCACATAGGTTTGTGTGGCTGGCCAGGGCGCTTCGCATGCATGGGAGCACTCACGCTTGCATGCGTGGGGATCAAGACGTGCCGTGCGTGTCAACCTAGAGAAAGGTAAGCTCTGGTGGACGATGCAGGTACAATTTGTGTGGTAATTCTATGAAAATTCGTTACACAAATTAGCTTGCCACCACACTGACATAGTGCAGCGGTTGTTAACTACATCCTCCGTCCATAAATTAAATCAATTTTAGGAGTTACCCTAAGTCAAACTTTCTTAGTTTGACCAATTATACATAAAAGAATATCTATGCCAATAAAAATGTATAACATAAAAATATGATTTATATGGTATCTAACTATATTAATTTTGTGTCATTAGTGTATTTTCCTATGAAATTTGGTGAGATTTAAAAATGATTTCACTTAGAGCAACTCTAGAAGTTTGTCCCTTGCTCAGATATTAGGTCCGTAGACAAGGTATATATTAAGCAGCTTCGGCTCCTCCTCTTTGCTTACTATTCACACTATTGTTCATAGAAGCTTCTTTTATCTCTTCGGTCCAATGAACTAAAAGTTGATGGGCTTCTTATGACACTGTAGCAATTAGCTCTAGCTGATTGCTGCCAAACAGAACTTATAGTCCCCCCGCTAGCCCGATAGGTAAGAAAGGTATTATTGTCATCTAGTACATCATTCTCCTTATAGCGCGATTACATTGCTTGAATGAAAATAGTGCACTAGAAATTACAATTTACAAACATTAGCTTCCTCACGCCGGAAGCGGCATGTCCAGAGGCCTGCATCCTCTTAACAGTTGTGCACCATTTCATTGAAAAAATCACAAATTTGCAATAGACAACAACAACATCTTTACATCCATACAAACAAAAGTTCGTGCACACAGATTGCACCAATAACATTGGCAAATCCCTACAACTATAATATCGCGCCGGCTCCGGCTGTGCAGTACCGCATCAAGATGCCATTGCTACTGACCTAGTCCATGTTGGTAGCAGAGAAGGAAGGTGAGGAGGCCTCATCGAAATCTACATGGAACATCTTCTCAACGGTGCACTAGTAGAAATGTTCACATCCCAAATTTCTAGTGACAAATCAAAACCGCGTTACAGAACAACACATAACTATGACTAAATTTTATGTTGGCCATAGATCAATTGGCGACGGTCCTCGGCCACTGCCTATTATGACGAAGCCTAATATCTTTACAAATATCGTCATTGAACAACACATGATATCATCACAGATCATACACACCGCACGAATTGCTCATTTATGAATTATGATGCTCTGTTTTCGAACGGTAATGAACATGACTTCTTCATTAAACCAATTACTCATATGTGATGATCTGTTTTCGAACTGTAATGAATGTCACTTCGTCATAAGTCTCTAGGCACCCCCTTGTCCTTATCATGTATTACTGTGGGATCAAGTAAATCATGACACACGTGTAATGTGGGACTCGTTTGAATTATATGGCAATGCAACCACGTGTATACACCATGTGTAGCTATGGGACCCAATGGCTTGTGTGGTAGTCTCGTGTAATAGTGGGTCTCGTAACCGCCTGCCAAATGTATATGTGTCGTGTAACTATGGGATCCAACGGCTTGCATGGTCTGCCGCGTGTATATGTCAAACTCAACGACCTATATGGCAGCCACGTGCAACAGTGGGACCCACTGCAGTTAGCCACGCCACGTGTAATTGTGGGACCAGACGTATTACTTGGCACCATGAGTAACAGTAGGTTCCGCGATGTCCTGCCACGTGGATAGACCATTTGTAGTTGCATGTAGGGAATGAGGTGGTCTGGATGAGCCTTAGTGAACCTATGTTGATCTAGTTGTGACCCCATCGACTAGACCAACACGAGCACAATTCACATTGGGTCAGCACCACATAACTAATTGGACCCAAAAAGAATTATCTTATAAGTTTGGTCAAAGTCAAATTATCCTAAATTTGACTAAGTTAGTATCAACATTTATAATACCAAAGAGTTATACTTTGAAACTATATTACAAACAAATTGACTTATACTGATATGATATCATAAATATATATAGATACTTTTATACATAGTTTGACTTTGATTAAACCTATAAGGTCATTTTCTTTGGACGAAGGTAGTAGATGCTAAAAATTATCTAGGGAGATTCAAATGGACGTGACTAATAGGCCACCTAATTATTAGCTGGACACCTAGCTAACAACTATTTCACTAGCTATCATAACCCAACAAATAACAGCTAATAGATTGATAAAAGACATATTTGCTCCCTCACCTACCCTACCACATGCCCTACCAGCAGTACCTAATATATTCACGGCCCTTCTAATAGTAGCTAAAAGAGGAATGACATTATAGACAAACCATCAATGCATCCACATTTTGTGCGCTAGATTCAAATAACAGCTAAGCCAATAGTTAGCCAAACAATAGTTAGCTAGCTAATATTAGTTATGAACTATTATCTAACTAACTATTATATGCTAGTGGATCCAATGACACCCTTATGTTTACTAGCTAGAAATATATGTATACCTTGCAAAATACTTTCATTGGAGCGACAATTCCTTTTTCATACCCGGTATAATAAACGAATTAATAATTAAGCATGACTGTTGTTATTTATCTAGTACCCTTTAGGTTCTTTTTTATCATGTGTTGGATGATTATATTAAATCTAGCAAGATGATTCATGCAATGTATCATTCTATTTTATGTAATTTAGTTTGCGCCCTTCTAATCCCTTTTGACTCATGGTTCTTACTCTAGAGTCTATGATTTCAATGGCATCTATTGTCACAAGAAATAATTTTTACACCATGAGATATCTGATCATTATTTTGTTAACGCCCTGACCTTGAGTTATATACACTACTACAAAAACCATTTTTAGATATGCCTCCCTTTTTGGTAGAGACTACTCTATCAAAATTCGCCTCTAAAAATAGTTTCTGAGCCGGCTTGTGTCTCTAGAAATCGATTTTTATAGGCTAAGGCTAGGCTTTCTGGTCTGTAAAAATAGGTGGAACACAATAAAATTCATCACTTTTGTAAATCAAGCTAGATGAAAGGTAAACTTTATATCAAAATTATAGTACCAGAAGATTTCTACAACTTAAATCATGTTTTTTTAAACCTATTATTTTTATTGCAACCCATTTACAGAATATTTAAATAAAAACTATGGTCAAATACAAAGAACCAATGTGTAAAATTAATCAAGTAAATGTGAGAAGAAAAATAATTTTGCAACCGTTCCCCGCTCCATTACAAACTTGACCCCTAAATATATGAAATTTGATTCACTGAGAGTAAGGTATCACTATACGCCAAAAATCGTCCGCGAAGAAAGGGCCCCCTAATAACAAGTCAAACTTCTGTTTTTCCTTCTCTTTACAATCGCAAGCTAACAAAAGACTTTGGAACACACACAAGGAAGGGCAAGCATGACGAGTACGAGTAGTCTTAAAACCTCTTTTGTTCGCATTATGATTCAGCACATATACATCGGGCCTACTAGCAGAGACAGACTTTTGTTTATTAATAACTGCGTACCAACAAAAAAATATGCTAAAAGTGCGACAAGAATGCCTAAAACCATTTTGTCTGCATTATTTTGTTCGCTTCACAAATAAAAGTTTTTGCTCCTCCTATGCAAACGAGCCAGAAAGTCAAATCTTTATGGTGCAGTGCACGAATGATAGAGCAAGTGAGGCTGAGATTAACACAGAAAGAAAGCAAGAAAACACGGCAAAAAGGAGCGTACGATGAATCCATCCGATCGTCAACGAAACGCCAGTTTTACCAGATGACGAGGATGACGAGGGGCATGGCGCCCGCAGAGACGGGCTCACAGGTAGGACGCGCCTCGCCCTCGCTGGCCGCCACGTGGGCCGCCGCCCCAGCGAGCACTCAGCACTAGCAGGCAGGCTCCCCACCTTCTCCTCGCTATCTCCGACAACATCACCCAAAATACAAGACTCATTCCATGTTTAGATAACGTTATAGGTAAAAGGTTTAATATCCATTTTTGTCTTATCCAGTAACAGGACCTAAAATAGAACACTTTCTGCAAATCAGTCGACAAGAAAGAGGATACTTATATTTATTATGCCTCTACTGTAACTCAAAATAGATCTCACATATAGACAAAAATGGATATTAAACCTTTTACCTATAGCGCTACCTAAACATACAATGAGTCTTTGTATTTTGGGTGATGTTGTCGGAGATAGCGAGGAGAAGGTGGGGAGCCTGCCTGTTAGTGATGAGTGCTCGCTGGGGCGGCGGCCCACGTGGCGGCCAGGGAGGGCGAGGCGCGTCCTACGTGTGAGCCCGTCTCTGCGGGCGCCATGCCCCTCGTCATCCTCGTCATCTGGTAAAACTGGCGTTTCGTTGACGATCGGATGGATTCATCGTACGCTCCTTTTTGCCGTGTTTTCTTGCTTTCTTTCTGTGTTAATCTCAGCCTCACTTGCTCTATCATTCGTGCAATGCACCATAAAGATATGATACACTACCGTCCACAACCCTGAATTTAGGTCTCGATATGGGTCATCACGGAGACAGTCTCATGCGCTACCTCCCGCACGCCCTCTATAAATGCGATCCTGGCACTGCACCGAGCTTACCTGGAACAGAGACAGGCAGGCCGCAGGCCATCCATCGCAGAGAGGACAGCCGCACGCCAGCACCTGAGTTTGACGGCGGGGCTGCGGGCTGAGCAGTGCTTCTCGGGCCCTTCGGAGCCGGAGAGATGGGGAGGCAGCCGTGCTGCGACAAGGTGGGCGTGAAGAAGGGCCCGTGGACGGCGGAGGAGGACCAGAAGCTCGTCGGCTTCCTCCTCACCCACGGCCACTGCTGCTGGCGCGTCGTCCCCAAGCTCGCAGGTGAGTGAGAATTTCCCTGCACTCCACCATGTATGCATGTGGTTGTGATGTGACTGGCCGGCCTTCTGTGCTCCCCCGCTCCGGTTCCGGCATCGGCTCCGTCCCTGACCCTGACGTTGTTTGCGCGGTTCGTGCGCTGCCGCAGGGCTGCTGAGGTGCGGGAAGAGCTGCAGGCTGCGGTGGACCAACTACCTGAGTCCCGACCTCAAGAGGGGCCTGCTCTCCGACGACGAGGAGAGCCTCGTCATCGACCTGCACGCGCAGCTCGGGAACAGGTGCGTGCGAAATTCTTCGTGGTTTTCCTGGGCTCCGTTCGCCATCAAACGGCTCCGGGTCGTCTCACCGCGGACTACTGGTCCTCTGTTTTCACGCGCTGCCTCACCGCATGGCATGACGCAGGTGGTCCAAGATTGCGGCGCAGCTACCGGGGAGGACGGACAACGAGATCAAGAACCACTGGAACACGCACATCCGCAAGAAGCTCCTCCGGATGGGGATCGACCCCGTCACCCACCTGCCATTGAAGGAGCCGCCCGCCCCTCCTCCAGAGCAGGACCAGGAGAAGGAAGAAGAACCGCAGGTGCAAGAGCAGCCGGCGCAGAACGGCGGGAAGCGCATGCAGGATGGCGGCGCGGGGCAAGACGACGACATCACGCCGATGATCCAGCAGCACGAGATCATGGTCATGGCGCCGCCACCACCACCGCCGACGGCGGCGGCAAGCAACTGCGGCTCTGCTGTTTCCTCTGCCTCCGCGGGGTCCGCGTCCGTGGTCTCGCCGTCCTGCTCCTCCTCGGCCTCAGCCCCGGCGGCGTCCGGCGTGGAGGCGACGGAGTGGCCGGAGCCCATGTACCTGTTCGGCATGGATGGCATCATGGACGCCAGCTGGGGCGGCCTCTTCCCCAGCACTGGCGCAGGCGCTGCCGGCGGCTTCGGCTTGGGCGGCGTCGATCCGTTCGACCAGTACCCCGGCGGCGGCGGCGGCTTCGATCAAGACGACCACTGGATGTGACGCGCGTGGTCGTCGTCGTCCTAGCAATGCACATAGATTCGCCGCTTCCCCTTCCATCTCGCTTAGCAGCATAGCGCCATAGCCTAGCCTAGCCTAGCCTCCATGTTTTCTTAGCTCTCTTTGGACTGTGCGTGGCCATGGCCGTCGATCCTTGCATTGCTCGGTCCTTCAACTTCGATCCAGTGCTGGATAAACAAGAATTGACAAATTCGGGTGCGAAAACATGACTGTTGTTCAGTTGACGTGACGCGTCTGATTCATCAGCTATCTATTCTAGTTCGGTGGATTAATGGCGTTCTCATGCCAGTCTCCAGCCAGAGCTGTGTGACTCTGCATGACGGCGTATGCGCGTGAGGACGTGGGGTGGCTGTGTCAGCTTCCGACTTCTCATGCGGCGGTGCTCCAGGCTTTCTCCGGCCGGCTGATGGCGCCGATTGTCGCGACGCGCCGTACGTGGCGAGCGGCAGCGCGCGTCGCCGCTTCTTTGACCGCTAGTACCTGGTACATGCATGCATGCCAAGATCGTGCCTTCGTTTCCAGTTAATCCGCGCTACATCATCGTTTTTACATGTTTAGAAAGGAGCGCCGGCGCCTATCTACGGGTCTCTGGTCAAACAAACATGGCGTCAATTCGTTGGCATACAAACTGACAGTTGACAGTACTGAGCATGTTGCAGTCAACCTTGGTTGCTCTCAACACCCCGTCTACTCCTTGTTGTTCCAAGATAACCACAGATAAATTTAAATTTGTATATCATGAATAATCTTGAGTATAAATAGGCGTTTAATTGTACTCAGATTCTTTTGAGAACCAAACACGCACATGAATGAAACAACTAACATTTCACAGATCAAACATGTCAACTCAAATTCCATGAAAGGGGTAGTCGACATTAACAATTCTCATACAAACATTAAGGTACTCTTTCCATTATGACTTTAGATTCATTTGTTCTTGCTCATAACAACAGCCAACAACATTCTAAGAAAACTGCACCTAGCATACCCACAACAACAAAGTATTTTATTACCCAAGTTATTTTTCATAACATAAAGCTACGAAAGTTCTTAGTTTGCCCATCAAAACAAAGAGTTCTCCCTCTCCATATGTGCTTCCTCCATCATCCTAGTGCCAAAATGTCCATCCTTAGCGACTTCTTCTTTTTCCTCAACTTTATCCTTCAAATATTGGATGTAGTTTTCCTACCAATGCCAAAATGGACACTAGGTTCCATCTGGCTACATTGACACATTACATAAAAAATAAGAACACAACACAGTTAAGAGAGCTTATTTCCAGAAGAGGTGTCGAACTAAACTTACACGATGATTGGGGCAAATGATTTTTCCAACAGACAATGGCTGCTGATTCGACCTTAACTGAACATTTACCTGCAATTGCAATCTAGGCAGGCCATCAGTGATGATGTGCTCAAATACCATGCCATTTACCCCACTCCACGAAAGCGGGTTGCCAGGTTTAGACTAAGGATGCTGATTTGGGCCACGACGAACGGGTTCAGGCTCGTTTTGGGGGCTAGGGTTTGCGCGTTACGGATGAAAAGGAGGTGGAGGAGGAACATAGAAGGTAGAAGCAACGAGCAAAGAGGAGATGAGATAAGGGGGGTTATTCGACCTTAGTAAGAGTGTAGGGGCAATTTGCAAATCCCCACCTAACAACAGGTGCCAATTTCCCAGCTATTACTAACGTGAAGTGCCAAATCAGCCACCGGATTGGGTGAGTGGCATTTTTTGGCCGAGATGGCACACCAAAATTGATTAGGAAGTCCAAACTACAGTTTGTTAATTCGGTGACCTGGATGAGAACTCAATAATAATTTAGGGACCAGTCATATAATTTACTCTTTATCACCAGATAATAAATAACCTTTTCTTTGCCATGCCGTAGGGCCAACAGCTAGCTGAGTGGCCCATGTGTAGCAGCAATGACAAACCCAAAATGAACTAGTGGCGGACCATCGCTAACTAAACAACGAGCCCAAGGTCACTTACGGTCAATCTGTGACAGGCCCAACGCGGCAACACCATGTAGCGCACGTATTTGGAAAGGTGTGAATGTTTGGTCAACATACTGACTGGAAGACACAGAGGCTACTGGACTGGAAAATCAAGCCTTTGCTCACTGATTTCTAAGTTCACAATACAAGCATTCAGCATCAGACATACAAGATCAATAGAATCGAAAATGTAACAGCCCACGGTCTTGCCACCAGGGCGAGATTATCTTCCTCTTCTAGACTCAGCTTCTCTTGCTCAGTTCCTCTTCATGCTAGTCAATGTTTAGTTAGAATTTTAATGCTAGATGCAACCTGGGAGCCTTTTGAACTCGTCCATGTAAAATGTACCTGATTTTGAATACATCGCCAGTTATTATAAAAGTAATCGTTCTTGTTACATGTTGGTATCTGCATGCAGTACTCCATTTTTTTTCTGTCAGGCATCGCTTGACACTGACACAGCTTTAGACAAAAGAAGCTCCACGTCAATTAGCACATAAATTGAACTACTGTTGGACAAAATTCCATCAGGCAAACGTTTAAGTGAACTTTTTTTTTACATTATCAGGCCTAAGTTTAAGTGATGAACACTACTACATAAAAGCTCTTTAGAGGTGGCTGGAATGCCTCTATAGTCTCTAGAGGTGGTTGGCCCAACCGCCTCTGTTCTTCCGTCTCTACAAAATCAACAATAACGATTTGAATTCGCAGAGGCGGCTGGAAACATGAGCCGCCTCTAGAAATCAATTTGCAGAAGTGGCGGCATTCTACAATCCTTTCTCGGTTAAAAAACACTTGGCAACAATGGTTGGAACCGTTTGGCTATTGATCCGGATTCTCTCCTTAAAATGAACTAGAATCACCGCGAGACACCTATTTGGGTACATTCATCATTCATTAAGGCGTACAATATGGATATAGGAAATTCAGAGGAATAGAAAATCTTGGAAATGTAATGATCCCCCGAATGCATTAGTTTAATATTGTGTCCGAAAGCTGTTAGGTCAACATCTTCATTGGTATTCTTTTGACCTGGTCCTTAATTACAAACTTGCAGCCCTTTTGATCGAGTACATGATAGTGTGTTTCATTAGTTAAAAAAAGAAAGATACATAATAGAAAAAACGAGGACAGCAAAAGAATGATGTCGGAGTAGATGTTTTTCATTAATTAATTCATTAAAATAAAATATATTTTGAACTAGTACATGATTGTACTCGATACATAATAGACCTAAACCTCATAAATCTAAGCTACTTAATCTTTGGATGATTCCTCGGCCATTAGCAAGGAGGCTCGTCGTCGTTGTCGGTGCCCTCCTCCTCGGCGTGGGCGTCGGCGTCGCCACTACCGCAGTCACCGTCGTCATCAGGGGCGAAGGCATCCTCGACGCTCTCCTCCTTGGAGGTCCAATAAGGACTCCAATCAGGAGAGCTATAGTCGCTGGAGCCCTCGCCGCTGGAGGGCCAGCTTTGTTGGACCTCGTCCTCGTCGATGGACGAGTCGTTGCTTGGAAGCTCGAAGTAGCTGTCCGCCGACACGCTTGAAGTTGGATGGAAGAAGAGGATGAACAAGGAAGAAGGGTGATTTCAGAGGACATTGGGCATGAAGAATATGTAGAGCACTAGGTGAGCCTTTGGCTTCTCCCGGCAGAAGTAATGGTGATGAAAGGGTGTTGGTAGTTGGGACATTACTCAACAGTCGCAAAGAATGTTGACCGCCGGTCCACCATTGGTAGTTTAGGGCCGACGGCCATAACAAGTATCTCAGGCAGCTCGTTGTTTAATACGATACGATAGATAAAAAGAACCCTAAGGTCACCAGCGGATCCAATGGTAACATGACGGTGATAGAACTTTTCACCGACGGTTTGATTGCTATCCAGACCCACCGTGTCACTGACTGATGGCGAAACATATCCACTGTCGGTTATGTAATAACCGGTAGTGATAATGGCGACTAGGATTAGCTCAGTCTGTAGTAGTGGTTCTTCTTTAGCAATATATACTGGTTGGAAAAATTCTACTTCACCCCCCAACTATGGGGGGTGGTCTACATAACCCCCTCAACTATGAAACGGTTTAATTTACCCCCTGAATTTTCCAAAACCGTCTATTTTACCCCCCAGGCGGTTTGCTACAGTAACGGCGGGTTGCTACAGTGTCAGAGGTTTTGTCTTTTCTTATTTCCGCTGAATCTTTGAAAAATCATAGTAAATCACAGAAAAATCATAAAATGAAAAATCTAATTTTGTTGGACTCCACATGAGTAGATCTACACGGTAATCATATAATATGGTACACTTTAGCACAAAACTTTTACTGTAGATTTATATTAATTAGAAAATCTAATTTTGTTACTGTAGCAAAACCCATGTAGCAAAACCGCCGCTGAAAACCGCCTGGGGGGGTAAAATAGACGGTTTTGGAAAGTTCAGGGGGTAAATCAGATCATTTTATAGTTGAGGGGTTATGTAGACCACCCCCCATAGTTGGGGGGTGGAGTAGACTTTTTCCTATACTGGTTATGCACATGGTGGATACCACGGATGGTAGGATTCCAGTGACAACTGGATTTGCCATATTAAACTGATTGTTGATCAAAGGTTGACAACTTAGTTTGGTGTGATTAATTGGTGGGTCATCGCAGATACCTAGGGTGATGCTAGAGCCACCGTTAAGAGAGATGTGGATGGCCTAACATATTTTTAAATTATATAAATTGCTTGGGCCTCGTGGATGAGGATAGCGATGTTTCGGTGTCAATGTTGATTAGGGCTATACTCAGCTTCACAAGTTATACTCCCAAGTATGGAAAGGTTTGGTGTGCGAAGCAGCTAGCCTTGGAGATTCAATTCGTTGAGGTAGTTGGAAGGAGGCGTACAACAGGGTTCCTAGGATACTATGTGCAATGGATTACTACAACCCTGGCTTGAGATGGTTTCCATACACCGGAGGAAAATACTTTGCCTCCTCTACCGGTCACATAACACATGTCCTGCAGCGTGTCATTTGGTCCTTTTCACAAACAGAACAATCTTTCCAGTATTATCGCCCATTAATACTTGTTGATGGCACTATCCTTACGGGCCAGTATAGGGGCGTGTTAATGATGGTCACAGCTATTGACCCGGAGGATCAGATAGTGCACTAGCATTTGCATTGGCAGAGGGAGAAAACAACGATTCATGGTCTTGGTTCATGTAGCTTCTATGGATACATGTGCTTGGCACCTCTCGCACGGGTATGTATGATCTTAGACCGGCACATCGGATTGCGTAATGCAGCTAGAGAAGAGATTGATGGTTACCCGCTTCTTGAGCACAAATGGTGCATGAGACATTTCGGCGCTAATTTCTAGCGCCGTCAAAGGAAGAAGGAGGTTTTAGACAAGGTAAAGGCCCTACGTTGTGCATGTTCAGAGCATCAGTTTGAGGAGAGAGAAAGAAGTTGGCAAATTACTGAACACCGAGGCAAAGGCATGGTTGGAGGAGCAGATGCAGCACAAGTCTAAGTGGGCACTAGCATATGATGAGGGCGGCTTTAGGTATGGCATCATGACCATGAACGCGTCTGAGTCTTTCAACAAAGTTTTCAGGGGAGTTCAAGCCTACTAGTGTCGGGCATCGTTGAGTTCTCCTTTCATAAGTGCAACAAGTACTTTGTTAATAGGTATTCCCTTGCCTAGGCAAACTTGTCCACCGATGGTATGTGGGGAAAGGATGGAAAGGAGCATTTGCACGAAGCTGAGATTTGGGCCAATCAAGAAGTTGGCGAGGCCTACAGACCTCTATGAAAAAATAGCAAATAATGTCCAACTATTTCAAAATTCGTAAACAGCTATAAGATGATATGCTGAAGCTAGTCATACCACATCTGTGACTTGTCTTTGAAGTTGTATTTAAATTTTGAGTTGAAAACTAGTCGGCAGTTAAGTGACAGCTCGGAATCTGATTTTCATTTATAGTTTTTCATAGTTGTGGGAAAATATTTGACACAGAACTTTGACATCCATTCCCAGTCTAGTAATTAGACCTAAGTTTGTACTTCAAACATTAGTTTGTGTTTTTTTAAAGAGTTGTTGTTAAGTTTTTAAGGATCTAGCTTTGCAAATAACCTAAAATGACCACAACTTGCACAATTCAAACAAAGCCACAGACTTTTTTGTTTTTCAGCATTTTTGCAACACTAATGTGCATGATATGAGATGACTGCTGACATGAGTTTGTGCATACCATGTTTGCAGTGACACAGGGTGTCACACTCTGTGCCGCTGAGATTTTGTGTGGTCCAATAATGTGTCAATGGATTAATTAATACTACTCATATTTTTCAAACATTTTATTTCTCCATATTCAAGAAAAGTATCATATGGCGAAGGGTACATCGGTCAGTTCCACTACATTCTTCTCTTAATGAAATCTAAATCCAAACAGTCAACCAAATGGTTTTAGCAGGTGATTCTGTTTCTTCTAAGAAACGTTTCTAGATAGAATCCGGATCTAAAACATTTCTCTAAGAATCTAGATCTCTACCAAACGTGTCATTTATGGAATACTTAGATAAGCGGCTGATCGATGATGAATGATAACCTAGTGACGCATATTGTAGACAAATTAATCAAATATATAATTGGTAAGCGTAGAAGCATTGGACATCACCTCTTGTTGTCCGTCAACCGTCGCGTAAGACGGTGATGGGGCGGCCGCTGTTGTCCCTCGGCCCATGATGGGGAAGGGTTTTGTTTGGCTTCACCAAGTGGTCGTCCGGGCTTTCCTTATCTGAAAACACAAGCGCGAAGTGTACCAGCGAGCGGGGAAAACGAGCGACCGACTCGCGCGAGCCGGCTGTTTTCGCTCCAGGAAAGGTACCGAGAGCTCACGAGCTCATGCTTATTTTCCTGTAAAACTATGTCATAGGAATGCAATCCTAAGGAATTGTTCCTTTACTTGTCCTGTGAACCAAAGAGCTATGTAGGAAAGAATCCTTAGGAAACTCAATCCTCCAAAATTCCTTTGCCCATCCTGTGAACCAAATAATTGTAGAGACTGGAGAGCGTAAAAGGAAGTGGAATACAAGGGCCAGTGGAGTGAAGCCATCACAATAATATCCTGTTCCCTTGGAAAAAGAAAGAAAGAAAGAAAAAAGTACTCTCTAGTAGTGACAACTGACAAGGCATGGCGGCTTCGGTGTCAAAACTTCAGCAATACTCATTTGACGGGATCGTCAAGCCGGCCAGAAATACTACTCTACTAGTATAGCCGGCACTACTATGCTGTGCAGCGGAGATCAGTTACACATTCACATTCCGCCAGTGAACACGTTTGACGGGAGTGCACAGACGAGACGATTATGCCAGCGTCGCGAGGTGCTGCAGCGCCCGCGGCACGGGCGGCATGTCGACGTCGACGAGGCCCTCCAGCGCCTGCACGACGTGCGCCATGGGCGGCCGGTGCGCCTCCTGGTCCTGGATGCACCAGCATGCCACCCGGCAGGCGCGCTCCAGCTCGTCCTCGCTCACGTCGCCGCGCAGCCGCGCGTCCGCCACGGCGGCCGTGTCCCCTTCCGCCACTCTGACCGCGGCCCAGACCGGGAAGAACGTAGACTCTCGGTCGCTGCTGTCCCTGTCGTCCGATGAGGCGCCGTGCTCCTCGGCGTTGCGCCGCCCGGAGATGATCTCGAAGAGCACCATTCCGAAGCTGTACACGTCAGCCTTGGCGCTGATCGGCATCCCGGAGATCCACTCCGGCACGAGGTACCCGATGGTGCCCCGCATCGTGGTCAGGGCCCGGCTGAAGTCCCTCCCCACCAGCTTCGCCATTCCAAAGTCTGCGATCTTGGGCGTGAAAACCCTGTCCAGAAGTATGTTCTCCGGCTTGATGTCACAGTGTATGATGCGCTCGCGGCAGCCCTCGTGCAGGTAGGCCAGCCCCCTGGCGATGCCGACCATGACGCCGTAGCGGTCGCGCCAGCTTGGGCACGAACAGGTTCCGGTTCCGAAGAGGTACGAGTCCAGGGAGCCGTTGGGCATGTACTCGTACACGAGCAGCTTCTCGTCCCCGGACGAGCAGAAGCCGAGGAGCCGGACGAGGTTGACGTGCTGGATGAGGCCCAGCGTGTTCACCTCCGTCCGGAACTGCTTGTCGCCCTGCCGGAGGCCCTCCATCTTCTTGACGGCCACTTCCACTTGGGTGTGTCCGTCTCCGTTCAGCACGCCGCGGTACACCGAGCCGAAGCTTCCGCCGCCCAGCCGCTCCGAGAAGTTGCTCGTGGCCGAGCGGAGGTCGCCGTAGCTGTACACTACAAGGGAGGAGGAGCTCTTCTGATTCGCCATTTCAGCCCGTCGTCTCCTCCTGGACACAAGGATCCACGCTGCTACTGCCGACACGCCCAGTGCGGCAATGCAAGCCAAAACGATGCCAAGGGCGAGCCACAGCCTCCGCCGCCTGTTCTTCTTCCCATTGTTGGCGCCGCGCAGATGCTGCAGTTCAGATTCCGACAGCCGGAGGTACAGGCTCGACGACGACGAACCCCCGCTCCCGGCATCTGGAAACAGTTGCTGAAGGTTGCGGAATCCGTCGTGCCAGACGGCGCAGCCACCGCCAGAGAACGTGTAGGCCTGGCACGAGCAGTTGTTTAGACAAGCCAACTCGCACTCTGCTTTGCTCTGGGCGCCCGCCACGGACAGCGAATCGTCAGGGAGCTTCATGCCCGGCAGCTCCAGGAAGCCGTCCGTTGACCCGTTGCCCCCGCACTGCAGCGGCAGGCTCCGGTGGCACCCGGCGCTCCAGTCGCTGAGGCCCCAGTCCCGGTCCGCCGCCGGAGCGAACCCGGGCGGGCACTGGCACGGCGTCTGGCTCCTCTGGTTGCAGACGCCGAAGGCGCCGCAGAGCGCGTAGACGTCGCACTGGACGGTGGGTGCGGCCCAGAAGAACTGCCAGCTCTGGCTGCCGGGGACCCAGATGAACTGCTTCGTCTGGCCGGTGAGGTCCAGCACCATGCGCGTGACGGTGGCGTTGTCGTAGAGCACGTTGGTGACGCGCCGGTACGCCGGCGTCTCGACGTACGTCTGGTTGAAGAGCACGTTGTTGACGGCCTCCGGCAGGTTGGCGAACACGCGCCCCGTCCAGACGCCGCTGCGCCAGTAGGCGCGGGAGCCGTTCCAGAGGTAGAAGAACTCGCTGCTGCCGTTGCGGTCCACCGTGTCCGTGAACATCCCCGGCGCGGGGTCCTCCGCGTTGCGCCACGACGTCAGCGCCTGGTACTCGCCGGTGAGTTTGTCCTCGCCGAGCCACGCCTCGGTCACCAGCGTGTCCGTCGGGTGGTCGAAGCTCTGCCACAGCACGTTGGAGGAGTTGCCGCCGTCGAGGAGGACCAGGTTGCCATTGTCGCGCATCACCGCAACGTTTGACCCCGGCGAGGACGACACCGACGAAGACGACAGGTTCGACGACCACACGACGCCTGCCGTGGCAGAGGATGGGCTGAGCCCGACGAGCTCGAGGTTCCCGTCGGAGGAGGACACCCGGAGCTCGGTGGAGGCAACACCGGAACCGGACAGGGGATTGACACGATTGCCAACCCAGATGACGGTCTGCACGGGCACGTTCTTGTACCAGATGCCGAGGTAGAACCGGCCGGAGGCGCCGGGGCTGAAGAGGCCAAGCTCGAACTTGCCATGCGCCGAGACCACCGTGTCGTTGCCCCGCAGCGGCCGCCGCGCCGAGACGGTGTCCATGTCCCCCGCCGCCACCGCACCGGGAAGTCCTCCTGCCGTGATGCAACACGCGAGAAGGGCGAGAGCGGTGGCAGCGGAAGCAGGTGACATGCTTGGTTTGGTTGCAGGGTGTTTCTCTGATGAGGCCGTGCCGTGGTTTTCAAGCAGCTGCCGCATGCGCTAGGGAACAACCGGAGGAGGTGCAGTGGTCAAGGTCTGGCCTCTGTGCGCCACATGCATACATGGCTCGAATTAAATTTGATGATACGTAGATTTGTTTGCAAAATGAGAATATATGTACGAAAGCGAAGGCAGGACCAGGACCTGTCAGAGGAATAAGCTAGGTAGTGAGAACGCGGGAACGGGGACTACTGTCTCGTGCCTACGACCTGGGCGGGCGGGCGCTTCCGTCCGTGGTCACCTGCTCACGCTGCTGATTTGGTAGGTTGGAGTCACTTTCTGGCTTTCGTATGCACTATGCGGTGGCAGAATGGACAACGGATAGGAAGCTTTTGCGGCATTCGTCCCTCGCGTTGAAATGTGCGACACTCACACACCCATGTTTGTTTGTGACGGACGGTTTTTTTTTTCACGAGCGTGTCCTCGTAAAACATATTGAGTCCCAAGAACACGTGTTTCAGCAAAAGTAGCACGTGGTTATTTGCTGACGGTAAAACACACGATTTGTAACGGAGAAAAAACCATGTATTTTAGCACAAACTAGTATATGGTTGTTGGTTGCCTGCAGAACACAAGATTTCCAACAGAGAAGAAACTGTGTGTTTTAAAACAAGCTAGCACACGTTTGTTGGTTGCCTCTAAAATAATGGATTTTTAAAGAAGGCCCACCCAGAGGAAAATCTGTTATAATTTCTGTGCAACTGAAGAGCCCATTAACTAAAATGATAAAATAACCCATTAAACAGCAGCAGCCCATAAGAAAAGCCCAAAACTATGAATACATAGGAATATAGCAGATAAATTTGGGAGAGAAGCGAAGCAAAAATAGATCCGCAAAGAAGAACAGGAAACTTCACGCAGAGCAGGGGAAAGGGGCAGACAACAAATTGCAAAGAAGAATAGGAAATTTCAAGAAGAAAGAAGCACTACGAGACTGATCCATACCTCATTAGTAAAGGTTAGTATCCCAATGTTTTGAATCTACTTTCTGAAAAAGTAAAAAAAAACAATAGCAACTCAGATCAAAGACTAGGAGAAGACATGGAAAAGGCACTTGGGGGTTCTAATGTAGTCTAAAGGTACAAACAAGCCTACAGCAACAGCTAGTCAGGATGGCAAAGATGACCTGCTACTTATGCAAACAAGCCTACAGATGTAGTCTAAAGGCATTCAGGATGATAAAGATGACCTGCTACTTGTGCTTGCTACAACAGCAGGGCGTGGCCCTAGTTGCTCAGTGTGCACAAGAAGCAGGTCCAACACTTGGGGGTTCTGATGTAGTCTAAAGGTACAAACAAGCCTACAGAAATAAAAAGAAACCAAGATAAAAGTCTACTAGCTTTTGCACTATCTTACAAAATCACCTATGGTGTATATAGAAATAAAGACAAACTGGCACACAACCACACAAGCATGACCAAAAACCTTGATAACTCATACCTGCACAAACAACATTATGTAGAACCGTGTGTCCTTTTGTATCTGCTTTCATTAGATCAACACCATGATTAAGTGGATACTTCACAATGGATATAACACCTGACCGTGCAGAGGCCACAAACGGTGTTTCACCTACAAAAGGAAAACATAAAAGTGCAATTTATATAACTCACAGCCAAAGAGTTACACATATGAGAGCATACAATTTTCAAAAGCATAAAAAGCTACAATAAGAGTTATATGTATGAACCTCCACTTGCAGCCATATTTCGATCACACCCTAGTTCCTCAACCAATTATTTGCGGACATACAAATGGCCCTGGCATGCTGCTGGATCATAATTTTCTATGCCAAGTGCTCAATCACCATTTCTTACATATAATTGATGCTCTAACTTTACACTAATAAAATCATTTATTTCTAAATGCTTGGGCTTGCTCCAACAATAGGGTGTAGCCCTGGTTGCTCACTGTGCACAAGGAGCAGATCCAGCACTTGAGGGTTGTGATATGGTCTAAATGGCTAGAAACACGGAGAACATAGTGCAAAAAATAGAGAGCATGAGATCACACACACATGTAGCTAGCAGAAATCACACATACACACACACAAATCGGATTTTCTGGGCTAATTTTCTAAAAGTAATTCTGCAGCCACACCACTCAGCAATTCTCAACTAATCCTAAACTAAAATTATAAATATATCTGTTATGCATTTGCTATATTCCTATTGTAAATAAATTACAGAACAAAAATAAAGAAATTGCACATTTGACATAGTGCAACTTGTACTTGCTGCTAATGCAATTATACTGTACATGTATACAATTTAAAGATCCAGCTCATGCAACTTGTACACGCAAAGCAGGGCAAAGGGGCAGAAATCAGATCGAAGAGGAACCACAAACCTCAACAGCCAAGGTTAATACACCGATCATTTGAATCCAATCTCCTTGTGTGTGTTAGATGCATGAAATATGTAATGATGAGAAACCTTCTAACTGTCAAAACATGAAATATGGATGTTATAACAGAACATGAATCTAGAAAGAAGAACAAGGCAGCAGAAAATGTCAGAGGCACAATATTAGATTTAGAATTATGAGGAAATGATTCGCAAAGAAGAAAGCAACAATGATGTAAAATTACTCATAATTCAAAACAGTTGACACAAATAATAAATAAATGAGAACTAATAGCTTCTTGATTTTCTTGCAGGTTTCAATTGCTTCCCTATGCAACTAATACAAGCACCAGTCGAGTTTGATCAACTACTTGAGGTAAGAAACACAATTCAATGATGCAATGAAAAAAAATCTGATAAAAAGCTATATAAGAACTTAGCTGCTTGCTTTTTTTTATGAAGCAGAATAATATGTATATCACAATAAGTAGCTGTGATGATTATCCAACATCAATGAACTCACAAGAAGCAATTAAGGAAGAGAGGCATCAACAAACATCAGTAGCAACAACCACAAAGAGAGAGAGAGAGAGGCATCAGCAAGCATCAGTAGCAGCAGGCAAAAGAAGCAAGCAGCACCAAAAAATAGAAAAAAGGGAGCAACAGCTCCAAAATGCAGAAAAAATGGCAGCAGCGGGTCAAAGCGGGCAAGGAAACAAAGCGGGCTGGCACAGGCATGCCACAACTCTGAGTTTAGGCACTTGTGCTCCTCCACAATTGTAATGGCAGAAGTATTTGTTTTGTTTTGAGAACAAGTTTCAATACTACAAGTTTCTTCAGCAATGAAATACAACCGGTGACGTGTGCTTATGCCAACAACAAAAAGAGGAAACAGGCCTAGAGATTGCAAAGACAAGATGAAAAAAATTACCAAGTTCATGCACCACTATAGTACATGTCAGCCGCAAAAAGGACCATAACTAGACATAACGCTAGAGCACAACACCAATCTCTAGCTCTATTCCCTCCTAACGATAGAGAATTAAACCAATCGATCAAATCGAACCCACATTAGAAAAGGAGATCTGATACAGATGAAGAAGACATATGTTCAAAGAGAGAGCAACCACACACCAGACGGCGTCCTCAGAGCTACTCTGTGAGAGCTCCAACAGCCTACATGAAATCGCCCTGGTATCCTCTCCTTGCTACGGAGCCACAGAGGAACTCTTTTTGACAAGGATGTGTGGTTCGAGAAGGTGAGCAGGTGTCTTTATTGTTTGTGCTGGCACAAAAACACAATAAATAGATTACAATTTAGCTATAGTATGACAAAGACAAAAACTAAAATATGTTGACAAAAATCATAAATAACAATTTTTTTCTATAGAAAACAAGGACAAAAATGTTTTCTGTGTTGGCACAAACCACAATAAACAAATTACAATTTTTATCTATAGAAGGACAAAGACAAATAACTGAAATGTGTTGGCATAGATCACAAAAAATAATTCTTTTCTATGAAAGGACAAGGACAAAAGTGTTCTCTGTGCTGGCACAAATGACAATCAACAATTAACAAAACTCTGAATTGTGTTGCAACAAAAACAAATCACAAATAACAATTTTTTTCTATAACAAGACAAGGACAAATCTATTTTATCTGTGTCAGCACAAATCATAAATAACATTTTTTTATAGAAGGACAAGGACAAAATTGTTGTCTGATAGATGGAAGCATCAATCAACCGAAGAAATGCTATGTTCAAACTACATTCAACCAATGGATATAATAGAGTCAAACATCTATTTTTCTATGGTGGGTGAATCTTCATACTTGAAACATTCATGGCAAAATTTGTTCACAACAAATGTCTCTCGCAACTAACTGCATATACATATCCCTCATCGCAAACATCTCGAGATGCAAAAACACACACCCTCTACAAGTACCAGGTCTGCTGGTCTTGCATTCCTTTGATGTGCAATCATAAACTAGTTTGCATCCGAGTTTGTGATATGGCAAATATTATGTAGACAAATGAATAAGATTTGCTATATGTATTGAACAATTGGGATAATAACAAGTCAGCTGGAGATTGAGAACAATCTCTCCCGCTCCCTAGTTCTCACTCTCATGGTAATCTCCTGACACCGAGCACGACGTCACAACCTCGCCGCCAGGCGCCTCAGCCACGCCCTCCCACATCCCACTCATACTACCTACACCACAACAACGGTTCCAACACAGAACTATTCAGAACTTGGAAGGCAGTGTTGTTATCAGGCAGGAGAACCTAGATGATGATGTACACCAGCAGCACGATGAGGCAGGTGATTAGGTGAACAGGAAGGAGAATGTGAAGGTTAAGTCATAGCCCCTTTTGACACCCCAGAAGGTGAACCCCACAACAAAACAGTTGTGAGCATGGTACCTTGCAGAACTACTGTGCCAGTTGACATAATACGACCATTGTAGTGTTTCATTAGCTACAAGGATTAAGAATACATAGGTTCAAACATTTATACATGAAAAGAATATAAATTGAAAGTTAAATAGGCAAATAGTGTATACTTGCATAATATATAGTTCAACTAGTATAAAAATGAGAAAATAGGAGGCAAATGGTTCAACATCAACATATTGCATGT